CATTTTGGACATTCCTCAAAATATTCTGTATTCTTTCGGAAATATTAAGCATTCCCTCTTTGTTCATAGGAATCATTAATATACTTCTCCATGAATCAAATAAATTCTTACGAGTATCTTTTAGACCTAGAGATAAATTATCTTTCAAATTAGAGCTACCCATATATTGTAACGCTCCTATGCAAGCTCGAACATCACAACCGGATCTTTCCGCTATTTTTACAAGATCGTTAAAGTCTACATTTAATTTTTCCTTTCTCGCTAAATTCATTAGATGTTCTGCTAATCTTAAAGGACTTACTTCTTGTATCGGAATTATTACAGCAACGGTTCTTAATGCTCTATAAATATAAAAATTAGATTATTATTTTTTAACTCAGGTATTATATGTTAATATTTTTATTATATTATTTGACGATTTTAATTAAAATTACCTTAACGATGGAGCATATGGTTCATTACAAATACATATTATAGGTCGTGTACAACCATCAGACATATTTTCTAATTGTTCTTTTTTCTTTTTCTTTTTCGCTATTAATTTGCCTTGAGTAAATTTTAATAAAAGTTCAATAGATGCAGCCGGTGCACCATCAATTTCATCAAAAATTAAACAATTCGGTCGGGGATCAGCCCCCATTACAGCTTTCATTTCTGTTGATGCAAGGAGAATCTGTCTAAATAAAAATACATAATACAATTTTCATATTATTAATTTTGTATTACTATGTCATATATGAGTGTCATATATGAGTGTATATTACCTAAACTTATCAGGAGTTCTTTCATCACTTGCATTGATTTCTACAACATTATAACCAGCATGTTTGGCTGTTATATGTGCTAAAGTCGTTTTTCCCAATCCAGGTGGACCACTAAGTAAGATTATCTTCTTTATTGGATATCCTTTACTATCCACTTCCTCAATGTCTTTTTTATCATCAACGTTATCCTTTTTTCCAAAAGTAGGCAACTTTTTTTTTGGCTTTATAACATTTCGTTTAAATACTACTTTATCCCAAAGTTTTAACCAATGTAATAATTGTCTATTAATGGTTTCATCTGATAATAACTCTATGTATGATCGAGGTCGATATTTATCGACCCACAATTCATCGTTAATCATGTTTGTTGTATCACATAGAGATGACGGTTGCTTAGATAACTCCTGTTTTCTTGCCATCTATAAAATGACATCACATTAGTATTATAACAAAAATGTAATATAAAGAAAATTGAGAAACAGACATACAATTTCTTTAGCCTGCATTTTCAATTGTTTATAGGGTACTGAAGACAAATTAGCAATTGAACTTGTGGACTGTTTGATATCATTCTGTTGGTTTCTGATTCTAATATATAAACGCTGATAATCATACGATCTTGTGACAGCCACAAAATTCCATGATGGAACTCGTAAAGAAATAGAGTTATTCTTGCTATTAAATACAGAAATAATATGGATGCAATATATTATAATTTCTATAAAATATTATAATTTCTATATATGTAAATCATTTCAAATTACGAATTACTCACTTATTGTAATTTGTTTTCATTGATTTATTTTCATTTTCATGCAGCAATTGTCTAGCACCTAAGATTTTCTTAATAACTTCTTTAGGTTGATTCCATCGAAGCTTCTTTTCTTTTGGCTCTTCTGTAATATCATCATAGATGTCAACTAGAAACAAAGATTCTATGATAATTATCTCAAAAATAAAATTATTTCTGTTACTAATTAGTTATCAATTAATTACCTGAGATATCCATGTCTAACAAATTAGAGATGTCACTAAGCAATTTATCGCAGCTACGTTTTTTACTACTGCTAGGTGTATTATCACAATATTTTTCATAACCACGTTTTTTATTATTGCTAGTTATGTTGTTAACTTTATCAGCATTAAGAGATAGAGGAATTTCAACATCTGATTGATGTTCATTATCATTAGCTGTCCAAGATATTCCACTAGTACTAGGGCCAGGATCAAATTGCGACAATAAATGGTTTTTATCATTGTTAGTTATGTTATTGACTTTATCATCAGATGCAGAAATTTCAACACTTGCTTGATATTTATTATTATTAACTGTCCAAGATATTTCATTATTACTAGGACCGGGATCAGATTGTGGCAATTGTCTTTTCTCAAATAGTCCACCTTCAAGTAAATAAGTTAATTATTATTTGTTTGACAAGATGCAATAAATAGTAAAATATAAGGAAAATATTTAAATGAGATTTCAAGTATCAATTTATTTCTCAACTTGTTTTTCTTCGTTTTAATTCTAGTTCAAAAATATTCAAGTCATATTTACCTTCTAATTCCCTCAAAGCTTCATAGTCTGCCTTATGAATAAGGTCGAACTCTTCGTCCATATCTAAATCTGGGTATTCGTCAGCCATCCTTTACTCAATGTGGATTAATCTTGCGATATACAAATTCCAAATATTCCAATTCCAATTTTAAGGCCTCTTTCACCAAATTCTGGGGTTAAGTTAATCGATGATATAGGTACATAGTATATATACATTATCACGAGATGCTCAAACCGACCGTTCAGGAAGAAAAATCATGTGATCAAAATTGTCGAATATCAAGCGTCAATTTTGATCACGTGATTCTCTTTATTTCTTACGCGACCAGTTTGAGCGGCTCGTGAAAATAACTTGCATTTTTAAAGTAAGCATTTATTAAATATTTCTTTTCTTTTAAACTTAATATAAATTTTTTTTATATTAATATATACAAATTATTAATATATACAAAGGACATTAATTGTTCCACCTAAACTTTTTTCGACGTCTTTTAATGAGAGATGTTTGTTTATAAATAATAATTTAAAAAATAAAATAAACAATAATTTCTTAAACAATAATTCTTAAACAATAATTCAAGAGAAAAAGTGAATAAAAAAGTATAATTTAATATAGGGGATAAATTCATCAAATATCTTTAACATTTCTTCAGTAGTTATGCAAGATTGTATATTTTTATTAGTTGCTTTTTGAGTTGTTGATTTGACCCAATACTACGAATTTCAAGTCAATTTAAAAAAAAATTAGAAATGACATTCATTACAGCATATTTTGCACAATCTACATAACATAAAAATATTCACATTAATATTACATTAACATTGGTTTAACATACATTTAGTAAAATAATCATTAAAAAATTGATCCACCATATTGGATTTATTATTTTGAACTTATGAA